TGAATATGGGTTGAGGTACTTCTCAGTCTAAGTGGTTTTAGAGATTTTTTACAGTTTGCAGGGGATGAAATGATCCAAACTCTAGCAATTACATACACCAAAAGCTGAAAACAATCAAAGCTCATCTTTATTTTCCTCTTTTTCCTAAAGGTCAATTCCTTTAAATAGGCACTAATGAAATCACAGGACGAAAAATAGAAAACATTAAAGGGACTAAGGAGATAATCGGAATTATAAGGATTGTAGAAGGTTTACAAGGAGAAGTTATATTTATTTAATGAGGAAAGCTAGGCAATCAGCCAAAAAAGTCAAACCAAATTTAAAATAATGTAGTTTCAGATACAGGTATATAGCAGTAAGCTTGAACATGTTTATCTAGACTATGCCCAGATCATTCTTGCAGACTTGGTTTGAAACTCAGAAGTATGCAGAATATCTACAGAAAAAAACCCCAAAAACACTGTAGGAGAGGCAAAATGTGCTATGCTGCTGCAGAATTTATGGGGATTGCATGCTTTTAAACTGAATATATCAGAGAGGTAAATTCATGTACATTTAAATTTTGCATAACACTGTGACATGTTTTGCCAGCAGTAATGAGAGAGTCTATTCTGAGTTTGAAATAAACAGGAATTAAAAATTAGTATGAACAAAAAAAAATATCAGAAATTATTTGTAGCCTCGCCTGATTATTTGTAGGCACCTGACAACACAATATGCCTGCTAGAGGAGCTGAGGAAAACCTCCTGAGACCTGATGAAATCCCAGACAAGATTGAATTTCTGGAGTCAGCTCATCTAAAATATTACACAACATGTTCATGTAATAGCCTCAACTGCTGCAGCCACAGGGCCTGAAGATTGAAAAGGACAAGAAGGAAAGAGACCACTCAAATGAGACAGTTAGATTAAAAAATTATATGCTGTCACTCAAATTTTAATGAAAGCATTGAGATTTCAATCTTTTCACGTTTTTCTGTTTCACACAGTACCAGGATTTTTTTTTTAGGCTAACTTAGTAACCATCTTTGTATTGTCAGAGAATTTCATCCTTATTTTTCCATTCTTAGTGTATGCATAATGAAAACATCCTGACATATCAAGGACGGGTCTGATGAATTTACCAGAGATTACATTCAATTCACTATCGAAGAAAAAAGTTGCAATAAAGTCTCACAAGAATAAAATTGTGAATTTTGGTCGCAACTTCACAAATGGGTATATTTGAAAGGTTATAAGGAGGAAGTCTTCAAATGGATGCCCAGAGAAAATAAACAAAAGTCTAGGCAGGGAAGAAAATTTTATTCTCTAAGCTTCAGGCATGTTGCCCAGACACAGCCACCCCACACTGAACTTTGGATCATTTTATCTGAGCATTAACCACTGGGCAAACCCCGGGGTCAAGGAAACTGTGGGTTCCAGAGAATCCCTTGAAAATTTTTGTGTATTGACATACTTGCATGCACCCTGACTGAAATAATTTGGTCCAGAAAAGTGTCTGCAAAACAGAGCATTTAATGGATCTAGTACAAAAGATTTTCTTTTCTTTACTGAAGCTGCCATGCTACAGCATGTTATACTGCTACTCTGTAGGCCCATTTCTGGTTCTTTTCTCCAGAAATTTTTAAGGGTAGATACTTCTACAGTTGATATCTTGAAGCTGGAAACTTGCAGAGTATGCTACACAGCTCCCGTGTTAGCATGGACTTGCAAAAGGTGAAGCATTGTAAGAGAGCCCCTGCAAAATCTAAACAAATGAAGCAGCCAGAGCTCTCATTTCAAAAGGTTAAAAAGATGGATAAAAGAGGCTCTGTCAAAAAGACTAAGTGGTCTTCTGATGTTCTGATTAGCAGCAGGAATCCATTAGGAAGAGCTTAAGTGTAATTAGAATGGAGAGATTAAAAGAAATACAATAATAGAAGCATTCAGAAAAAACAGAAAGTGCAGAAATAGGCAACCTGCAACATAAGCAGAGGAGCATATAGTAGGTGTTTTCAGTAGTTTCTTGTGCAATATAGATTAGAAATTATTGTAAACCATGTAGGAAAGAGTGAGTTATATAAACAGGTACTTCTATCACACCTTTTCTTAGTTTGTCAGCAGAAAAATTAAGATATCAGTGCAAAAGGCATCAGTATCAATGGCATAAGTAAACCCAAATCTACTGAATATAAGAAATGTGAAGAAGATTTCAGACAAATGCTAGAATGTCCAGAGCACAGGTTTTAAAACTTGACTTTATTTAAAGCTTTCTTGAGTGATTTAAGTTGAATTTGTAGAAATATTACCTCAGCCACTCCTGTTCACAGTCTATAAACTGTGGGCATAAACAATGACATTGAATTGACAAGAATTTAATGTCAGAGCATAAGCCTGACTAAATTAAAAGCAAATGGCATTCTATTTATGAACTCAGGATACAGAAAATATTAAGGTCTGTCTTTAAACCAATGAACGCATCCTCAGAATTGCTGAAGCTCAGGCAGTCACCTAATTGTGACAACTATGAGCTCAATTGTCAGCTGAATTATTCTCCTAAAGGTGATTTAAAAATAACACAGGTCATGTACAATTTTCAGTACTTTATAATTCTTACCCAATTTATTTATATTTAAACAATACAGTTTCCTTCATATCATCATTACTTGAGAAGATCTGGCCTCTGCATATGTAGAAAGAGACTAGAATTCCTAGGAATATATAATTAATGAGGAAGTTTGCAATAAATATACATTCAGTGAACCAGCTATATCCTTTATTCATTAAGATAATAGCACATGCAAAAGTCACCTATTTAAGAGATATTAGCTTAAAAAATACACTAAACAACTCCAAGCATAACTGCAATTTTCTATTTCTACTCTACTGCTAGGTCTTATTGCTAACATGTAATATACTCAAGAAACTCTACGTATGTCTCTCCACTAAAGCCCTACTACAAACGCACTCAGACTTTGGCAGATCGTGAGACTGACTGCCCACTGTCCCCTCGCTGATACAGTTTTCCTTGCTCATTACTTGTTTTTTCTTGTTTCTAAATGCAGCTGTTAATTGCTTTAACCTTTAGCTGATTCCCTTGAACTCAGGAAATTTGTATTTTATTACAACTAAGCTAAACACAATTTTAAATTCCATTCTTATTAATGCAGTTATAACAGTGTAAATGAGATTTTTAAGAATATTCAGAAATCAGTCTAAGTCCTATGCCAATTGGTCCAATTCACGACATGGAAATGTCAGAATTTCTGAAAAACTGACGCATGCTATTGTCATTATAATGGAGCCTCCTTCTTAGAATTGTGTCTGCTGTATCCTAAGTACCATACTCTAGTCACTGCTTTATATTATTTAACATAACATTTAGTAGTTACTAGAATTTAATAGCAAATCTGTTCAAGGGTGAAAGAATTAAACTGTGTTTGATAAACCTACTTTATTTTGCTACTTTATTGTTTATTACTGAACATTGTAAGAAAGATTGTCACAGCCAGATATCCCTTTATTTTAATTAATGCATTTGTAATAGCATGAGTAAAATTAATGCAAAAAATGCAAATTAAGATCCAGCTATTAACATGCCAAATTTAGATTCTTGTGTCTGTATCTACTGCCTCCCCCACAGGATAAATACATGACTTAGGAGAACTTACACAGCAATTACTCCACAGAGCTGTCAAGACATTTTGCAAAAGATCCTTTGTAGATGGATTCAGTGAAGTACTAAAAAGCAAGGAGAAGAGTTTCCAGATTACAAACTATTTAAAGAACAAGACCAGACTAGAAAGCAATGCACATTTATATGGAACACTTTTTGGTTTGTAGCTACGTGATCAGATTAAATGCATCATCACCCTGAGGTCTCATTACAGTCAGTGGCAGAAGACCAGCTGAAAGGCCCTGGGAGCTGCCTATTAAATTTAAGTGTCTACAGAATCTGTGTTTCTTTCTTACACTTCCCATTAAAAACACACTGTGGGTGTCTTTCAGCTCCAACTTCTGCCCCAACCATGTCCTGCAGCTCAGAAGTGAAGCCAGTTGTACATCTGCTTCCCACCCAGCATTTCTCTGTGAAATGAAAGCTAGATGGAGACCACAGCAGTTTCTCTGTGGGATTTTGATGGGAGGGCCATACCTATTGACATTCCCAGGCACGCATGCTCCAAAGCCTCCAAGCTGTTCATCCAAATGAAGAAAGAATCTACAAGTTACTTTTTTCATCTTCCATTTGTATTCATGATTGGCCCCATAGTCAAATTGCTTTCACAGCCATTTTACCTTATTGCCTGACTTCCTTTGGCATCCCTCAGTTAAATGTGAGCTGCTGGTCCCCAGCAGATTTGAACAGTATTAAGACAGAGCTATTCCCCAGTTTGCTGCTATGATTCCTGTGCTGTTTGACAGCATAACTCTAAACCTATTTACTTGAATGGACTATTTAAAATTCCATGCTCAGTTTCCTGTCTGTGACTGCTACATCCTAAATTATTAGATTAAAATCCAAAATTGCTAATCCCACTGCCATCTGTAGCACCCCTGTAAATCCATGAAACAGTTTTAATGCACGTGCACAAACAGGTAACCTTCCAATATAAGCTGAATGAAGACTTTGCTTTAGATAATCTCACTTTCCTTATATATATTTTTTAGTAAAATATTTGTGGGCTTGCTGTTTAGGACGATGTTTAAAATTAATATGTTTCTTTATATAGTATACAATTCATCAGCATCTGAAGAGCAAGAAGTACTAAGAGCTAAAGATGGTGTCTCCTTTGAGCCTGGGATGCTGGAGCTGAACACTCACAAGAGCTTTTCCAAAGGCCCTGCTGCAGGTGCTGATCTGCTTGGAGGTGCCACAGGAGCATTGCTGACAGAGATGAGGGGTTTTTCTGTTTTGGTGATGTCTGTGAGTTACACTCTCTGGTAACTTTAAATTTTGATTTTGGACATTCGAGAGGTTGTTTCTTTCCCTTAGCAAGGGAAAACCTGGTTTCCTCACACAGGATGTTCACTTTGTTCCGTTTTCTTCAGCTCATCAAGGCACTTTCTTTACATTGGCAAAGTTGTGGAATTCCAGGTCTGGAATTTCTCCATCATAATGATCACCAGGTTCTTGGACTACTTCTACTTCTTCTTTTATCTCAACCACACGGATAGCGCCAGCAGCCCCATTAATTTCAGCCACCAGCAGCCGCGGAACGCCCGCCGCGCCGGCCGCGCGCCCGCCCGGAGCGCTGAGGCTGCTGCACCGCGGCGCCGGAAGAAGGCTCGCTCGCCATGGTGCGTGTGCCGGGCAGGGGATGGCGATGGGGATAGGGTCGGGAACAGCGACAGTGATAGGAATAGGGGCTGGGGTAGGGGTGCGGCTCCCGCAGCCTGCGTTTATGGGGACGCGGTGTTCCTGGCCCCTTCATTGCCTCCGGAAGCGGCCCCACCGCGTCCCTGGGGAGGCGAGCCCGCTGGTGTGCTGGCCCTGTGGGCCGGTACTGGCGGTGAGCCCCCCGTACACATGAAAACTGCTGCGTTTCCTCCGGGGGGTTCGCGTCCTTGTGGGCCGGTGCCGGCGGTGAGCCCCCCCTGCACATAAAAACTGCTGCGTTTCATCCGGGGGGTTCAGGTCCTTGTGGGCCGGTGCCGGCGGTGAGCCCCCCCTGCACATGAAAGCCGCTGCGTTTCCTCCCGGGGGTTCGCGTCCTTGTGGGCCCCTGGCAGGCCGGGGCCAGGCCCGGTCCGCCTGTGGAGCAAGTGGGAGGTGCCGCGGCCTGAGAATTCCCGAGGTGTTCAAAGTGTGTCTTTAGCCTTTGGACGGATGTCTTTGACACCATGTTTTTTTTTTTTGTGTTTTTTTTTTTTTTTTTTTTTTGCAGCCCTAAGCACTGATGTTATCATAGAGAATTGGATGTATTGCTATTAGAGACTACTAGTCTCCGTTTACTGATGGCCATTTATTGTGATGTAGGAAAGCCCCCTTGCTTTAAGGTGTTTCTTTTGGGTGCAGTTAACTAGCACATTATTTCATAAAGTCATTTGGTTCTGTTCAAACATTTTCTTACCAGAAAGTAGCATAACTTAGAGCAGTATTACCATACTCTGGAAATTTGTGAGCTGTATTCCCTCTCTGTGCAGTGTGAAGGGGTACAGAAGGGAAGCCTCTGGCTGCTCCCTGGTGTGAAGCATTCCAGTGATCTCTGGGGAGGAACAAGAAAATCGCTTTTATTACATTGTACAAATTACACGAGGCTCTTGTCAGAAACCCAGATAAGAGCTTGAATGGGGACATTTTTCTGCAAAGGTACAGAGAGCTAATATTAGTTTCCTAGCTACAGAGTTCTACAAAGTAGGTATTCTGACAGTAGTCACTAGGTAAGATTTCTTACAGCATTTCCTGTGCTCCAGTGGTTTTGTTACAGCATGTACTGGCTTCAAGTAATTTTGTTATTGAAGTAGGTGAAATTGATAACATGTTACTGAAAGTTAAGGGCCTTCTTAGATATCAGTGCATGACCTTTTCAGTCTTTACCATGGTGTATACTTCTTCCCTTTGATGTTTTACTCAGCCTTGTTAGTGCATAGTATCTTTGATGTCTTTTCAGCCAAAGTTAAGAAAACCTCAAGGAGGAAAGCAAGAGAAAAAAGTTATCCATCCCTACAGCAGAAAAGCTGCACAGCTTGCAAGGGAAGTACACAAGCAGGAAAAGAAAGAAAAGTAAGTTGACTGCAAAACCTCTGTACAGATCAAAGAATAACACCACCAATTATACTTTTTAATTGTGGTAGTGGACACGGACTGTTAGGCTGATATAACCACAAGAAGACAGAAGGGCCTGTATAACTTGATGCTGCTGCTGGGCCGTGTGAAGTGACAGGTTTACATGCATTAAATCAGGTTGTACAAAGTGTGTAGTTCTGCTGCTTTACTTTGGGTGTTGTCCTTACAAGTTAGATTTCTTGCCTTTGATAATCTGAATAGTATGATGCTGGTGATTTCACATGAAGGTGAGTCCCCTAGTTTGGTTTTACTTCAAGTTCAGTAAGGATCCTGCTTAGGGTCTAGCTGCTTCTGCTAAAATGCTGAGTTAATTGAAAAGAAAACCCAGAAACCTTCCTGCAGAAGGCAGACTTCTGAACAAAACTGTATAGTTAACTCCTCTTTAGTGGTTCTGTGGTGTTCCATGGAAAGTTTGTTTTTCTGCTTTTAAGCTTTACCTCCCCCTCCCACGGAGAGAAAAGACAGCTGGTGAAGGCTGGCCTTTAAATTACGTTGTCTCAGCTTGCTTGTTGTTATGCATAAATATGTTTATTTAGGAAGTTACTAAAGCCAGCTTAAAGCATTTTCAGTCTAAGTATAGTAAAGCAGTACATAAACTAGATAATGCTGTATAAATTGTAGTGTCTGGATGGACCATGTGAGCTGAGCCCAAATACTCATTTGTCTGAAGCTGTTAAATTGGAAACTCCTGGTCCAGAGACTGTGCAGTTTTATTGTTGGGATTGATGCACAACCTTATCCACAGCAGTTGCACTGTTGCTTTCCCTAGAAGGGGGGGCCTTTGCTGCCAGAGTGGGGTCATGTAGCCTCCAGCAGGGCTGCTGCAAGTGTTCACAAGCAGCAGATGTTGATTGGGCAGATTCTTAATGTGAGAGAGGTTTTCCCTGCTGTTTTGTATTTTTTTCTGTGCTCTCTTACTATTGGTAGTAATTTTTTATTGCAGATTATTTTCCTACTGCTAAATTGACCACTTTGTCCCTTAGCTCTCTCACCTTGTGTCATAAAAACCGCTCACAGTTCTTAGTCACAAAAGATGACTTCATCTTACTTGGTTCTTAGTGCTTACATTTGTGACTTCACCACACAGAAAAACATGCACAAGAAAACTCAGTGAAGGAGCAATACTTACTGGTTATTCATTGTGACATGGTACACTCAAAGCTTTTAGTGACAGTCTGGTGTGGTTACCCTGATATGGACAACAGTGCTGATGTTTCCTCTTGGAGTGCTACTTTTTCTTCCTCCTTCCTCTTGCAGCAGCAAAACGTTCAAAGGCCCTGCTGAAACTGAGATAGTCAATACCCACTGCTTTCCCCTCATCCATCCAGGCAGTTGTTTCATCACAGAAGGCTATCAGGTTGGTCAAACATGACTTACCTTTAGTAAATCCACGCTGACTACTCCTGATCACCTCCCTGTCACGCATGTGGATAGAGATGGCCTCCAGAATGAGTTGCTCTGTTGCCTTTGCAGTGGTTTGGGTGGGGCTGACTGGCCAGTGGTTCCCTGGGTTCTCCTTCTTGCCATCTTGGAAGACCAGGGTGACATTTGTTTTCTTCCAGTCCTGAGGCTCCTCTCCCCATCTCCACAACCTTTCAAAGATAATTGGGAGTGGTTTAGCTGTGGTGTCTGCCAGCTTCCTTGGCACTCATGGATGTATCCCTCAGGGCCCATGGCAAAGTCTTCCCCTCTGACATTCCTTAGCCCTGGTCAGAGATTCCTGAGGGCTGCTCTTGGCAGTGAAGGCCCATGCAAAGAAGGCATTTGGTGTTTCTGCCTCATCTCTCCTCTGTTGCCAAGGTGCCCCTCAATTCAGTAAGAGCCCTACGTTGGCTTTAGTTTTCCTTCGGTCACTGATGTGTTTGAAGAAGCCCTATCCTTGCTATTTCAATCTAGGCTGATTGTAAAAAATGTAACTTCTCATTTTGCATAGGGAAACCATTCCACCAAGAATAGTGTGTCAGTTTTCACCATTCACAGCATATTGTGATAGTAAAATGATCTTATGTTTTGTGTCTTTATATCTTATTTATAAGATTTCTACATCTTACACTTCTGGGGCCTGAACAGTTAACTAACATTCTGTACTTTGTAGATAGATCACTTTTGTTGTGGTGTTCTACAAATCAGTTGCACTAAAAACATCCTCCAATTCTTTATGTTCTATTTTCTGTGTTGTCTTGGCTTAAAGAGCAATTTAATTTGAAAGACATGAAAATGATTTTTTTCCCCCTTAGTGTTTTTAAAAAACTTAGTAAGTCTTCCAATTTCTTTTGAATCTCTATTTTTACTATCAGCTTGGTAAGTTCTCAGGATTTTTTTTTGAATATTGGGAATTAAACGTGTGTTGAACTTTTTTGTTGTAATTACTGAGCTTTCAGTTTCTGTAATATAATGGTGAGGCTTGGATTCATTTTGCATAGCTCTGAAAAAGACAAGACAAATTTCTGATGCTGTGAATGGAGGAAAGCTTTCCACTCCTACACTCTTGGGAAAAAGAAATAGCTTACACCAGTTTTATACTTCTACATTGCTTCTGCAGGCCTATTAAATATCTTTAAACAATTTTCCAAATTGCTTCTATTGAATGACAGCCTGTTCTCTGGTGGAAGGTTAGTACATCATTTGGAGGTAAATAGAAGCTGCCTTGTAATCTCTATAGAATTTTCTTCCTTAGTCCCGTCTACAAATCTGGCATTTTTTTGACCATGCTTGTTATTGTGTAGAAGTTGTCTGAAGTATGAATAGGACACAAAACTAGAAATGGAATTCTCAATGGGATCTCACTAGGTTTGAGTAAAGAGGATAATTGCTCTGTACAGGCTAGTGCACTTCTGCAGAATGGAAAAACTGGATTAGAGTACTCAGTGAATGTAGGAAGTCCATAGAGGTCATCTGTACTATTTTATTAAGCTGTAGATTTCCTTGCCAGAGGATGCTTTAATTGTGGCTGGCTAAATTTGTGCAGTAAGATCTTTTTGAACATACATACATTTTATCTGTTGATTATTATTTAACACAAAGGCATAGGGTGTAGGAATGTAGGAAACCTTTGAATGGTATGTTACTGGAGGGTGAGAATATCTTTTATAGAAGTCAATGTTTTTGGGTTTGTGTGGTTTATTTTGCTTGTTTTGCTGAGGTTTTGTTGGTTTTTTCCCTTTGGTGCTTATCTGGAGACAATTCAGGACTAGAGACAGTTTAGGCTTCTATTTGCTTATTAACTTTCCTATAGGACGGAGGGAAGGAAGTAACTACTGTGACTGTTCCTGTTTATGTTATACAGAAAGGAAAATTGCATTAAGTTGTGAGATGCATATTGCAGTATCTTTTTCCCAAATGAGATAGTAAAAAAGGGTAGACATTTTCCACAAGGAATTTGAATATTTTAAATGCAGCACTGGGAAAAATGAGGGAGAAATTCTGCATTAAGTTGCAGAAGTCTTTTGCGGGCTCCATTGTCCACTCTTCACTGCAAGCATTCGTAACAAAACATGACAGCAGTTATAAGTTTACTCTCCAGAAACTGTGACTGCACTACAAAAGACCAATCTTAACCATAATAAGAGGAGACAAACCAATTGCTTTTAGAAAATTGGCTACAATCTTAAATCATCTTGTTCACTTCAATTACACTTTTTTTCTTGCCTGCATCCGTCTCTTCTCGGTTCTCTTCAAGGTCTAATGAGCAGCAACAACTTGCAGTGTGCTACTACCAGTTTATTCTCTTAATCTACATGTGAATTCTTATTCCTTTAGGCAGCTTGCTTGCTCTGTTAAATAATTACATGGATGTTTTTATGAGACAGCAATAGCTGCTTCACTGGAAGTAGTAGAACACTGACTTTTCTACACTTTAGGAAACCTGACCATAGTGAGAAATTAATGAAACTTCTGTAGTAGTGATGTACTAACACCAGTCATGTTTTCCTGCAACTGCAGAAATACCTGTCTGGTTTTGGTAGCTACAGCTAATGTAGTTGTGCTTTTTTTCCCTGTTTTCCCTCCTGAGTCAAAATAGACCCTTTCTATTGTGTATGCGTGATAAATTTCTTAGTAGTCAGTGCATTTTCATTACAGATAAGCCAGTCTGACATGCTCTGAAATACGACATTTAAGGAGTTTTTACAGTACTGGGGCATGAAGCGACCCTTTGGAGTAAGCAATCTTAAAATGTTTCCTGGTATAACTCTGGGTGTGCTTTTTCTGAGGTTTTCCCCTGTCTAACCTCCTAATCTCTCTTGACCCACTGTGCTTCTACTTGCATTGCTTATGGCAGTGATGCTTTGTGACATACTGTTGCAGAGCCTTCATGAAGACCTGACAGACTCTTAGGCTTTTAAAATTATTTATTTTGAAAAGCCTTTTTTTTCAGAGCCATAGATGGCATTTGTATTTGTGGATATTATCAGGGAAAAATACTGAGTACGTAATCTGATTTGGAAAATAGTTATTCATTGTTAGTATTTAGAGAAGAACAGTTGAATACAATATCTGAGATAAAGAGCTGCTAAAGGAACATGTAGAATTCACTTTTAAAGTACTTAGTAAACATCAAGAAAACTACTAATCATTCTTACTAATAATCATTGCCTAAGCAGAGGATTTCTGGAAGGTGGGTGAAGATGAAAATCATCAAGAAACAACAGTCTGCCACAAGACTGTGTCCCTGGCCTTACCTCTCCTTCCTGAGCAAAAGTTATTACTCATTGTGTAAAGGGAGAGGAGAGGAAGTTTCTTTGACTCACCCAATTTGATTAGCCTCCCTGCTAATGCTATTGTCTTCTAGCAGTCACTGAGGTGAGGTTTTTATAAAAAGTACAATAAGGCAACATCCAAGCTGATCATTCATTATTTCTCATACTGAAATTACTTGTGTGCACCAGGAGACTGAAGGTTTTTCATCCAGAAGAAAATGCTGGTTCTGTACTTCGCTGCTTTGATAAATAAATGATTTAGTGGCCCATAGCAGGTGCAGATGGCAGTTTGAAGTGTTTTAGAATGCAGATGTGTGAAATGATCCTGTTTAGGCAGCTTTCCTAGATGCCATCGTCATTTTCTCCATTTTTTCTGGCAAAGCTCTGCAGACAGGCTCATCTGACAGCATTGCCTTGCAGGGCTCCCAGCAGGGATTGCTGCTGTGGAGTTCCACTAAGGGAAGTGTGTGTCCTTTTCTTGGGTGCTGTTACCATCCAAAGCTCCCTGTTGTAAGTCCTCTGAGATAAAAGCCTGCCCAGCTTTTATTGATGGCTTCTTCTACACATGCTGGGGTAACCATAGAAGTAAAAATTTCTTTAATGTATTTGTATGTTGTCTCCTTACCATACAAGTTTCATACCTTCTCGGTGTTCTTGTGGGCTGTTTCTCAGAGCACTGACTCTTTTCTCTTCACAAAGCAGCCAACTGACTCCACTTCCCTTCTCAATGAACCACCCCACTCTTTTATAGCACTCTTCTCACTGGTTACAGGTGTGGCCTGTTAAAGTCAGGCCTGATCCTAATCTTTGATAATTGACCCAGCTGCAACTCCTTTCTACACTATCTTTAGTAAGACTTTCTACACTATCTTTATTTTCTTATATTCTATCCCACTACATTAGTGAATTCTTAGCAGTTCAAGCATGCTGTGCATTTGCTTGTACATGGCTTTTAGGGAGTCTTCAGAGGATGAAATACTTCTTGAAAAATCGAATAGTTATTTAATAATGTAGGTTTGTGGACAAGTGACACAAGTATGTTTGTCTCTGGAAAAGTAAGGGTTTATCTTTTGATCCCAGTTTTTGTGGTAGATAATAGACTTCTGTTAGCTCTTACTTCAGTTAGATCTAAAATGCTCATTAAATTTTACAGAATAAAAGGAATTTAATAAAAGAGCTCAATAGCTTTGAACTGTGATGAATTTTAGCATTATTTGTTATTTGTCAATTATAGCCTTTATGATTTACTTAATCCATTACCAATTTTTCTATTTAATAATAATAATAAGTCAATTTTATCAGATGTCCTTGAATATACACTGAATATTCATGGCTAGGATATATTTTCCAGTGAAAAATTTCATACTTACCCCAATAATGTCTTGTTTTCCTTTCTGGATAACAACATCCTTTGATGCAGATTGAATCTGACACCTTCAGGACAAAAGAGTATGAGGCTTGGGATTTCCTGCTAGAGAACTTCTCTTTTTTGATAACTCCTAATTAGGATGGAAATTTATCCCAAATAGCACTGTATACTCACGTGTCATAGAGCACAGAAGGTTTTTGAGTATCCTGCCAGAGATTCAAGTGGACTTAAAAGTCCTGTGAGACAGAGTTGGGGAGTTCTTTAATAAAGTTGTTAATTTTGCTTTCTTAACATATTAACTTACTGTTCACTAAGCACAAACTGTAATTATTACAAGCTTTAAGGTAACAGAATGATATATTTCACATTGCATGCTGGATTTGCAAGAATGCCGTGCAGTGAAATCTCCCAACTCATTAAACATACCACAAGAATATCAGAAATATTCTGATATTTGTGACAATAAATTGTCACAAATAATTGTGACAATTATTGTGTCACAATAATTGTGACAATCTAGCTCTTTGGTATAATTCCTTTTGTTGTGCTCTGAGAAAAATGTTGCATCTTTTTTTCTTCCAAGAAACTTTTTAGCTTAACAGGTAAACTGGACAAATTTCAGCTAGTAGTTTTACCAAAAAGTAGATCTTTTGGATGAAATATAAAAAGTTTTACATTATTTGGAATTTGTCAAATATTTCTATTTGAATCTATACCTTGACTTTCATTGGGACTGAAAAAAACCTTAACTTTTTGAGAATAAAATTAAAGTCATTGTTTATATGGTGCTCATTCCTGGCTAACACATCTGTTTTTTCTCTGCTAGGTTGAAGACTGACAAAGCTTTGCGTTTAAGTATTATTGGTAAGCAGAAACTTCTATTACGAGTACAGTTTTCAGTTTCTTAGTACAGATTCTAAGTTCTGTCAGGTTTTTAGACATACAGTTAGAGCTCTTTTTCTATAATCTGATTCTGCAATCTTCAAATAGACTTGGTTGAAATACTGAAATACCTGACATGTCCACTTAATATATACAGGATTGAATTTGGGGCTGAGCATAACTAATCTTTAGTCAGTGTACACAACAGCAGGGCAGTATAGACCAAAGGAGTGTTTTGTACATCTGTACACATATTTATTATATTTGGTCTCCAAGCTGTTTATAATTGCTTGTAAAAGAAGATGATATATGTAGCTTAAAAGACACATTGTGTTAGCAAGTAAATTCAAAATTGGAGACACATCCTGGAATATTTTTCTCTTTCATATGATTGATCCTGCAGCTTTTCATTTTAATCTGTTTAAAAACAGATATGACAACCAGAACTCTTACTCAGCCACTGTGTTGGTTTTTTTCCCCCTTTCTAAGTTTCTTTCCTAAGTAATTGATATAGTGATATTTTAGTTCATTTCCAGTAAAAGCCTAATTTTTTTTTTTTCATGTAAGGGAGGTATAAAATAATTCTGAAATGATGTGGAAATTTCTATTACAGCTGCCTTCATACTTGGTACCCACAGTATCAGAGTCTGTGATACCATTCAAAATCTTGAAAAATGAGGGGGTGGCATTTCAAAACTTAGAGAACCTTTAATATCTGTTGATGCTACAGTTGTGGGGGTGTAACCATTAACATTAAGTTTATTCTTGCAGGAGAAAAACTGCAATGGTTTCAAAGTCACCTTGATCCCAGTAAAATCGAGTACACAAAGAAGGAAGCTGGTGAACTAATTGAAAAGTAAGACTGGTGTTTAAAACAAGATTAAAAGGCTTGACTTGTCTTTAAAAATAATGTGATGATAACTCAGAGGAGGACTTTTATATTGCTAATTATAATATCAAGTAGATGATTTTGTTGCCAGTGACAAATACTGAGTGACATCTATAGTCATATTAGAATTATTCAAATAAGTGTTTTTGTAGTTTCTTTTTTTTTAATTATTCAAGTATATCCCTAGTTTTTTCGTGTGTGGTGGACTTTAAATTATTTGGACAGTAGTAATCGCGTGCATTTGCTTGTTGGGTTATTCTGTGACACCTGAACACACAAATTTCATACTACTTACTCCTTGAGTCTCCAATAAATAAAAGAAATTAGAAAATAAATACAATTAGTAAAATAATTTATCAGACTAATTCTGTTTTGCAATTTTTTTTGAATGACTGCACCTAGCTTTTATGCATTTTATTTTTTTTCAGTTATATGTGTCGATTCAATGCTGAATTGGAGCAGATTGAATTACAAAACAGTATTAAAGGCAGACAAGGAAGACAGCATGGTTCACGGGAAACTGTCATCAAGCAGACAATCGAACGTGAAAGACAACTCTATGAGGGCTATGGAATGGGTATGTAAAAGTATCAGAAAGAATTCAGTCCTCACACCTGCTCACAAGGCCAGAATCTAAGCAAACTTTCTAAGCATTGTCCTTATTTTTCTCTTTAAAGAAATTACCTAAATGCTAGGTGCTTGTGCCTTGCAGAGTTATTTGGAAGGACAGCCGCTGTGAAGAAAAGGAGAAAAACAGATGGTGGAGATCTGACTCTCATATTCTACTTCTGCCTTTCTTTGTGCATCTCTGCTAGTACTGTCTTTTCAGTGCAGGCATAGTTAACCTATTTTTTAAACTTCTAATGCACCTGCCTTGAATTCTGTACAGCAGCTGGTTGGACCTTCCTTAGATGGCTGGAACTAGGCTGAAGGGAAGCAGCAATAGTTTGGTGAAATAAAAAAGAAAAAGAGATCATAAAAGTGCAAAAAGCAAAGAGTTGTTTGGGGATAGTCAAGATAAGCAGTGAAGTGTTTGTATTTTGCCAGTAATGTACAGGTTGAAGCTGAGTGGTAAACTTGGCTTTAATACTAAATTATTATCCAGACATAATTGATCCTTCTAATAGTAAAATATGTTGTGGAAAACATGAAAAGTCGACCTTATTCTGTAGTTAGGATTCAAAGCACAGCAAGGTTTGGGTTGTGTGTCATATTCCCTGGTCAGCTGTCCCAGTTGTGTTCCCTCCCAGCTCCTTGTGCACCCTCAGCCTCCTCACTGGAGGGCTGGGGTGAGGAGCAGAAAGAGTCTTATCTGTGCAAGCCCAGCTCAGGAATAATGAAAACACCCTGTTTTCATCAACACCATTTCCAGCTAATCTAAAATGCAGCCCTGTGCTAACTACTGTGAAAAAAATTAACTCCACCCCAGCCAAAATCAGCACACCCTGGTATATATTCTACAAATCAAGAAAATTAATGACTAAAATTTTGCCAGTGCAGCTGGCAGAGGAATTTATGAATATCTGTATGACTTCATGCATCATCTTTGATGTCTTAGAAGGAGAGGGAAAAAGTAATAGGAAAATAGATTTTGTGATTGTCATCAAAGAGCTTAATTGTAGAATGTGTTATTTTTGTTTTTTGCTTTTAAATTTTAGTTCTTTTTGTCCTTACTGCTTTGTGGAAAGCTGACAGAAAAAAGCAGTAAGGCAAGAGAAAAAGATGTCAAATACACAAGCACAACATAAAAACCGTGAAGAAGCTAGAAATATTGTAGGCAAAATTTGAGGTTATTAGAGAATTAGTAAGTAAAGCATTCACAGAGCACAGTGCAACTTCACATATTAAATACACTTTCAAATCATTCATTATTTGTTATCACAGCTGCTGCAGGTTTTGCTCTCTGTCTAGGACAGTGTTCATTCAGAGAAAATAGTCGCTGCTAAGTACTATAGCAACTAAATACTGTAATTAGAGATTGGGCATAAATGGAAATCAGCTGAAAACAGTGCTTTTATTCCTCTAGCTCATTATTAATCCTAGAAGCTTTAGTGAGTGGAGCTTTATAACTGACTTAGATTTGTTGGGTTTTTTCCCCCCCGTTCTTGAACTCAGTGATTTCTTGTATGCATATGCATTTGCTATGAAGAGACTGCACAGTATATATTCTTTTCATTTAGGGAAGTCTACTGAACTTTGATGCAGTCTATTTATATCATAGAATCAATTAAGTTGGAAAAGACTTCCAAGATCATTAAATCCAACCTTTGACCAAACACTACCATGTCAACTAGACCATAGCACTAAATGTCACATCCAGTCATTTCTTGAACACTTCCCGGGTTGCTGATTCCTCCATCACTTCCTTGGGCAGCTCATTCCAATGCTTAACCACCCTTTAAGTGAAAAAACATCTGTCCTGACATCCAACATGAACCTTTCCTGGGTGTAGCTTGAAAGGTTCATCCAACATGAACCTTTCCTCTTGTCCTGTCAAGGAAATATGTAAACGAAAAACTAGCCCTTTACAAAATGTAAGAATTTGTTTAAAGAAGTGGTAGACATCCCGAAATATAGTAAATTTTAGTCTTTTTTTAAACAAACAGTAGCTATACAGGGAACATTATCAGTGATGTTGTTGAGGCTTAGCAGCTCCTTGTTACTTACTCCTTAAATACATCTATAGTAGTTTTACTGCAGCTTTCTTCCTCTTGTTTTCATTTTTGTGTATTTGGATTTCTATTTAATCTGGTATTACATGTTTATAGCAAAGCTATTGAAAGGCAATGCTAGATACTTATTTATTTATTTGTAACCCAGAGTTAGTATGCTTTCAGTGGAAAAGCCTCATAATTATTTCGTTCTAACACCATCCATTTTTGATAATTTGCTTCTAATTACCTTACATGTTCTCTCAGATGCATAATACTAATCTTGGGGGAAAGTGGCTTTTAAAACTAGATACACTAGTTTTATTAATTAGTTCTGCAGGCTTCACATTACAATCAATTTAATTCAGATGAAGGCTGTATCATTTCCATTTATCTCCTAATGTAACTTCTGTACTATTCGTTAGCTGCTGTTTTCTGTAGTGATCATTATTGTATAACTGAATTAATTTTTTGCCTAAAGACCACCTACAGTTTCCTTCTTTTTAACAGGCTGTTTGTTCATCCTCAAAAAAAAGAAAAGCAAAACTATCTGAAAGGGTCAGAAACATTAAAAAATGTTTGCTTACCATCTTTCACTGTGGTTTTGCTAAATGCATAAATTGTTGAATATTTTGTCTTAGAAATGCCAGACAATCATATACTCCCTAAAATACTGTCTTCATTTCTTTCCCACTAACTCTTGTTCTATATTTCTTTCTTACATTTTTTCTGTCTTTAGTTCAGAAAAACATGCTCCTATGATTAACATTTTAAAGCAAATTAAGGAGTTCACAAGCAGCAGCAAAAACCATGACATTGGTGCATGCTAAGGAGATGCAGCTGAGTTAGACAAGTGTTACTAATCCAGCATAATTTAGAAAATCAGTTACTGTGCAGTGTATAATCATTTATACACACAGCTCTATTCTTAATCTTGCAGCTCCGTAGTTTTTATTGTGTAACATACTGTAAACACATATGTAACCATGGCTTAAAAATTTTCCAACTGCCAAAGCAGTAAAGATGAATTCAGTGCCAAATCTTGGTTTGTCACAGAATTTCATCTCAGAGCACCTGCTTTCTCATGATGTTGGTGAGCCCTGAATGATAGGCTAGATAAAACTGTTAGAATATTCTCTTTGGAAAAGGTCTGCATAACTTAAACCCCTTTTTTTTTTTAAAAAAAAAAGAGGAAAACAAATGAAAGGACTTAAGTTGAAAGTCTTGTCATATAGTCTTGGTTTATCTGACAAGAACACTGAAATGTATGTTGAATCAGTGCTTTTAGCAAAGATAAAAATACAAATCTCAGCATGGTGCCACTTCTCCCAGACTCACTGTTTACATCAATACATGCCCTACTAGGGGCAAATGGAGTAGCACTGATTGCTCCTTGTAAAATACCTGGGAGAAGGGAAGAACTTCTTGCCCTTGTAGGAGCTGGGATGTTCCAGTGTTTGGTATTGTGCTACCGTGAGTGCAGTTTAAAAAAGCACTAGGTAAATGTTTCTTTGTGTTGGCTTGCTCAGCTCTGAGCAGTATCACCTCATCTGTTTACTGAAGAACAGTCTGAAGAGATCAGTGTAATTGTTATTAAAACATTTCACATATATTATTGTTCTTCAGCTGGTAACTTCATCACCAAGTGTGAAAGGAAGGAATAGTAAGGACTGTCTGGCCACAAAGATAAATAGCACAGGTATAATTATCCTATGTTTTGTAGTAGCAAAACTATCCTTAGTGCTGCATTGATAGAATGATTCTATTTATTACTCTAAAACTTGAGGAAATTGATCGATGAACAAAAGTAAAACTGTTTGCTCAAGGACAATATAAAATGTGCTGAAATGTCACAATTTTAAGAGCTAAAATAAAGTGGATTTAATGTTAGAGAAGTAGAAAACATCTGTCTTGTTGAGAAGCCCTGCTGGCAGTGAAATCTGTACAATTCATAGACAGTAATGAGGTGTTTTATACTGTGGGAAGATGTCAAGGCTCCTAAGGTATAAATCTCTATAAATTAGTGGTGATGTTAAACACAGGCTGCTTGTAACGCTGCAGGACTGACCAAGAAAAGAATGACACAGAAGGGGAGGCAAAAGAGCTTTGGCATCCTATGTAAAAATCTGCCTAAATTTATAAATTACACTTTAGTAGGAAGATTTTGGCTATTTCAGAAGGAAAAAAGCAAAATGATCAGTTCCACATGTCTCAATACAAAATATTTCCCTTCCTTTTTACTAGTAAAGGTAATACAGATATGTATTATTGTTTTAGTTATTTGTATTACTATTTTTATTGGGTTTTTTATTTGTATATATGTATGGCAGGTTTCTTTTAGAACAGTTTGGTTGCAGTGGAAGGGAGGTGTGTAGCCATTTTGGTTAGAGGCCATTTAGCTCACATTTCTTCCTTTGAAATGAAACTCACTTGAATAATGTAACACATCTAACAGAATTTAATTTCTTTCCTATTAGAAATCCCAGACATTATGAACAGAAAGCATCTGAAATTTTTCAGGTAGGTTTTTTATTATCACTAATAATCCGTTTATGCAAAATACTGTTTCTGAAGTTCACCTGTTGTACGTCTTTTTTAATAAAAAAAGGAACTTACACAAAACTGCCAAGGAATTTGTCATTTGAAAGAGCAGAGTAGGTATGGCACTGCTATTTTGGCATTTCTTAGTTGTTACAAGCTGAACACCTGTGCCAGTTATTAATTAGAATATTGGAAGATTTAGACTTGACAGTTAGAAGCCATTTCTCTAAATTAAGTAACCTTTTTTCTCAATGTTCTTAGATAATATTTGACCTAAAATTCTGACGTCAGCTGTTCACAGTAGTGTTGGTATGTGTGTATATACTAGTTGAAAATCTTAAATGAATTTACAATTTGCATCCAGTTAAAAGATCTGGGAGCTGTGAAACTTGCTGCTGGCTCATCTGGGCCAGCATGTTGGTATGTCCTGGTAGTAGATTGAGTGAGCATTTTTGCTGACAGCTCTATCAAGTGAAATACTTTAAAGGAAGAACAAAAAAAAAACAACTTAGGAATGCTTATGTTACAAGGACTACTATATCACTGACTTGCAGGGATGTTATGTAGCCAGAAGTCATATTTACAGGATGTTGGAATAAAGCCAGAAATTTCAAAGGGAGACTGCTGTATTTATAAATATGCAATTGGCTTCTTAAACAGGGACATCAGGTAGAAGTATTGTTGTATTGCCTTGGTAAAGGAAAAACATATCTTATAATTGGCATATACTGTCTTTGCCCTTGAGAAAAATTATCCATGAAGTGCACTTACTATAATCAAGAAAGCATTCCATTAAGTGAGTCCTGGGTTTGACTTATGTTTAAAACAACCCGTTCTCCTTCATGCAGCCTTTTGCAATAATACACTCACCATGTGATTTAATGTTTACTAACCTTTTGTGTTCTCTTGAAGTCAGACATACTACAAGTTAACATTTACCATAAATCACCAGGGACTTATGTACATGTGAGGTCACATATGCAGATCAAGCCTCCAGATGAAGAAACTCTTCTGACCTCTTTTTCTGTTGCTTACCAGACTGCAAATCAAATGAGACAAACCTAAAAGCAGGTGGCCAAAAGTGACTGAGGGTAGAATTAATCTTGGAAATAAAGTGAATCATATATTTTTGTTTCAGAATATCACATCTGAAAGTACTTATTGCTTCACAGAGAAATTACAGTTTCTGTAGTGTACAAAATCAGGTGAAATTTTTGTTGCTCATTCATACCACTGTGGAACAGAGGATAACTTAGAAAAACAGCCTCACTTGAGTTAGCATCTTCTGAGGAAATGTGAATTATCTCTGCCATTCCTTCCTTTCTGTTGGTAACTGGTTTTCATTACTTATTTTTTCTCTTTAAGAGAATGGGATGGTGATCTGAGGAAACTGCCAAACATTAAAATGAAAAAGCTCTCTGCAAGGGATGCTGCCAGCAGTCACCCCGAGGTGACAGATGCAGAAGCAAAAGAAGACTTGAAGGAAGAAGAAGAGGTGGGCCCTGATGAACACCAGTTGATCCAAGAGCTGAAATAGTGAAAAGAATTGTAAGAAATCTATTTAAATTTTCACTGGAAACAAAAATAAAATTTAACTATATTTCTAAAGGCTTTTTTAGTTGCTTTTTTATTATCTGTTTTCCTACAGTGAAGAGTAAACAATGTTGCTGGTTACTGGATAAATTTTTTTACTATAAATAAATACTTATAACCTTAATCATGTAAGTTTATGTCTTGAAATCCCCCAACTAGCCAAGTACCTCTTCTGTCTAGGTTCAGACTGGAATACTTGGTGGTCAGAAATCATTACCTTTTTGTGGTAATTGCAATAATCTGTTAAACATGAGGAACCTCTTCTCTTTGTACCTTTTCTTTGAGAATCTCTGTCAGGATCATAGAGATCTGGAAATGCTTCAATAAGATATTGAGTATTTTATGTTTTGTCAAGAGAATTTTAAAGAGTTACTGTCCTCAGCAATCTGTATTGCAGAATTCAGATAAAAAGCCAAAGTCCCTGCAGTCTGTATTTAAATATATCTTAATCCATATTTTTTTTCTCTAACCCTTTTGTCGAGAGTTGAATTGAAGCCACTCAGGACTTTTCAACAGTCGGCTTGCTTTATGAAGCAACTCTTTAGATGCTTTTAAATGTGTCTTTCGGGAAAGTTCTTAGCAGATTATCACTTTAAAAGCTGTAAAATGAATAAAAGAAGGAAAAAGGGCAAGGGCAGAACTAGGGATAATTTCACAGCAGGCATTAAGTAGGACATCGCAGTGCATGTTAGGTTGTCTGGGCACAGAAGTCACAGTTCAGCTGAACTGTTTGCACACATGGTAGTAAGCACAGCTTAAAAGCCTGTTACTTATGTGGAAATAATTATTCCTGGTGGATGATCTTTCTAGTTCATGATCCCTAGTACTCTTCTGTGTGCTAAACAATCAAGTGTTTGTCATAGTAAATAGTTATATGGGTTTCCTAGAGTTCTTTTACAGACATCCAGGTGTGTATTTTCATAGCTATGCAGCAAGAGTTACTGATGAGTGTTAAATCTGTTAATGTGTATATTAAGTTCTTCCCTCTTTACAAATAGTCTTGTACTATCCTTTCATGTTATAGGAAACCAATCTGATTATATTATATAGAACTAACAGCTGTCCTCCTTAAATGATTATAAAAAGGAAACCCAAATAACTTTTACCAGACCTGGAGCATGGGTGGGTAATGTAATTCATCTTCAGGTGAACTGCAAGTCTTAAACCTGCCTAGAGGTCTTGGCCTCTGACACCAGCCACATCTCCAGGCTATCACATCACTGCTTTGTGTTTGAGAGACCAGTGTGCTGAAGTTCATGGCAGGCCTTTGGTATTTTTTATATCTTTGTTAAATTGAGCTGTGGAATTTATCTTGTTTTGATTTATAAAACTTGAGGTGGTAAGCTGTGGTAGAAGCTGAGTCAGAGTAATTAAACTAAACTTGTGTATGTAGCTGTTTCAGTACTTTGAGAGATTTTGCCTTTTGGAAATTCATTTTGAATTTTTGCTTGTATACAAAGTCTGAGGTTTGAAATTGCAGGTAGAAACATTGAGTCACTTTCCCATGACACTGTAAAATATGGAAGAAAAATGAGCAGATAACTTGATTACTGGGAGGTGTCATAGTAATTACAGTATATTAGGCTGCCATCCTGGTGAGTGCTTCAAAAAGACTGTCATGCAGTTATGAAGAACGAGATGTTCTATATTTCTTGAAACAATTCAGTAATAAGATATTATAAAAATCTGGTTAATGTGTGAAATTAAGTCTTTTTTAAGCATTTTTCATTTAGACTACAACATTATTATAGTTCAGATTTTATTGACTTTCTTAATTTTCTTCCTTGAACTCCATATAGTCATTGCTTGTTTAGCTGGCTTTTAAACTGTCTTGTTAAACTACTGCACAAGTAGTGAAAAAAGAACAGTGTCTGCATGTGAACTTTTTACATTGAATTATCAGAAAAAATCATATGCAACTGTCAGGTATTCATATTTGAATTTAAAATAATCTAGGCCTAAGCTGATGATGTGCAAGACCAATTTATCAGATGAGTTGTTGCAGAATATTAATTGGGCAGTGGGAAAATCAACAAAAACCCCCAAAGCCATTTATTTATTTATAATTTTTGTGCTGAGAGTTTTTTACCTGACGTGTTACTGAGACAAGCTACTGGAATCTCTTCAGGTAATTTCATAATCCAATCATGCTTTATAACCAGCTATTAGAGTTTTGTATGTTAATGAGTTTCTTTCCTACAGGTGAAAAAAAGACTAATTCTCTCAGGAGTTCTGAATTGTTATTCTTTTTCTTTAAAATTTAGAAAGTAGATCCTGGTTACACTGATATTCTCTGTTCTTACAAACTTACTGTGGAGAATACCTTGAAATTGTTCTTTTGTAACCAAGGATTTCAGATTTTAATGCTAAATCCTCTGTTAATTCTCTGTAATTTACAGGGCGTTTTTCTGGTAAAGGATTAATTTTAGGGAAGATTTCTTTCATTCTAATTTGTCGAGTAGTTTTGCAATGTTCCTGTGTTTTTTTAGTTTTCAACTCAAAGCTGTAATAGTTAAAATTATTATTTCATTAATTATCATGGCTGAAAGATACAACATTTCAAACAAAAAAGTAATATTTTTATACATAAAACCACTTTCATATAAGAACTTTGGGGTTTTTTAGTGTACTTTCCAGTTTGTTGCAATGTTTTTACTACGTTATACTTTTACTTCATCCAGCATTGGGGAGCTGTGGCTTCTCTGAGGAAGTGGCTGAATTACATTCAGACTGTGAGTAGCAGCTGACTTGTTAGTTGTGAAACATACCCTATTGATGGTCTCAGCTGGGAAGAACCAGCTGACTTTAACCAGCTGACTATTTCTACTTAAACAGTAGAAATAATGATTTTTTTTTTTCATGTTAACAAAGCAAATGTGATTTAAAAAAAAACAAAACTAAACAGAAAATAGTGACATTCTCAAAGCTGCTTGTATACAGTAAATGTAAATTAATTTACAATTCCTTACTATTGGAAACAAATTAAGCCATTTGTAAGGGGATATACTTATAGAGTATAACAATTCTTTGTTTGTTAGTCTGTCTTTTAATGCAGTAACATATTTACTCATCTCTGTGATGACCTCTGCCATGTGTGAGGACAAAGTCTAGGACCAAAAACGTGTATATTGGATTAAAACTGGAGTTTGCTACACACCTGGCAGATATGAAAGGGTAGTGCAAAAATCTCTTTCTTTTTCTCAGCAGAAAAGGTTCTGTGCTTAAGGAACCTTCCAGCTTAGTTTTCCAATGAAGGGCAATAAAATGCTTGCAGTGCAGAATTATATCAAATTGGCTTGTTTGGTCAGTCTCAGCATGATACAATGCATAAATTATCTTTCTATCTTCTAGCCCTTTCAAGAGCAATAATTCATTATAGCTGATTTCCAGACTTCCCCAAAAGAAGTAAGTTTCATGAAGGTCAGAGACTTTGCTAATGAGCTGTTGTGATTTATGCTCTGCAGTTTAAGCTGATGTCTTAAAATCACCTGCCAAGGTCCTGTGCAGAGTTCCTCTAATGAAACTGAAAATAAGCTGATGGTGAGACACTTACCATAATGGTGCTGTAATCAAGTTCCCTAAGCCTTGACTGTCCACTTTTATTAAAATGGAAGGTTTAATATGTAACTAGTTACCTGTTACAAAGGAAAAATAAAATGAATCAAGTTATTAGACTAAAATGACAGCATTACTTTAAAAACAGAATTGCTAAATAATAAATTTGGCAATAACAATATTGCTAAAAAAAAAATTGAAGCATCCTACTAATATCAGCTCTTATTCAAGTTAACACAATTAACCAAGACAGTACCATGCTGATTTGGAAACTGATAAAGGGATGATGCCTATTGCTAAGATACAAAATGCTCAAAAAAATCTCATCCACACTTTTTAATGAAATATTCTTTTTCCCCAGCTCTCAAAATTTGGTAGCAAACCTAGAGGTAAGTGGCACTTGAAGATTCATTAAAGCCTTTGCCTGAACTTCCAGACTGATTTGTTCTTTTGACTGTATCTTCTGGGCTCCTGTAAGTAGCAGTCTTTCTTCTGTGAGCCAATAACACTTGGGTTTGTCCTTATCTGATTTATGACCTCATCTTAATCCTGCTACTTCACTTTTCACTTCTATGCTGTTTGTGAGCCATTTTTAAAATCTGTTGACTGTGTTGTTCACCACGTTCCCAGGCATGTGCATACATAAATGTAATGGTCCATGTTTCATTATAGAAGTATCTCCTCAAATTATTAGTGATTTACTTAACACACTTAAAAATTACTGTGACCTATCTTCTTTATTTGGAATAGTGATGATTACTTTATTTTCATATATATTGTCGTCTATGTGTTAAAAAAACAAAAAGTCCTGTAATTCAGTTAATATCAATTACAGATATTTGTAACTAGCAAAAGTGCAAGTTTGTCCCAGGGTCCACATTCTCCAGCAGTTTGGCATAATTTTCCTTATCAGTCAAGGTTGTTTTCTGAGCTCTGTGTCATAGGTAGTGGAAATGTGTATACCAGTGGTTTTGGCAAGTTCTTTGACAATTTCTTTTACTTTTGGGAATGCTCATGCAGAACAGCCTTAATATTTTATTGGCTGGGAGGTGTGTGTACAGACATCAAACTAAACAGAACCCTGCTTCATGTTCTAACAGTGCCCTTCATCAAGGGATTCAGACTCTTTTGTGCAAAGCAAAAAGGCTTAGGGACCCATACCTCTGGTCTCTTAATTATGAAACCAAAATTGCTTCCACTTTTCTGTATGCTAATAAATGGAAATTAATATAGCTTTACTACAGTAACTTCTTTTTTATGCTGTTTCTTCTGTATCTTGCAGGGATTTGTGAATCCATTTGCATTTACATAGTGAGCCTAGTTAGGGCAGCTTTAAGAAAATGAAAAAGTGGCTAGCCTTGAATGTACAGAATGAAATTTGTTAGAACATTACTTCTGTGTTTTGAACATATATGCTTACCAATCATCAGCCATATGATTCCAGCTAGAATTGTGGTATTTTGAAACTTAGCTCACTCCCCAGCTGACCATCTCTGAGAAAGATATGGAGTAGGTGGAGCTGTAGAAAACTAAATTTGGACCTTGGTTGGAACATTCATTTTTAACCAAGGTAAGATTTTTTTTTTTTTTACACTTCACAAAATGCACAGGCTTTTTTTTATAATGCAAACATGCAATATTCCTTTTCATTAAGAAATGTCTTTAGGATTTTCAAAAAGGAGAAAACCTCACCAAATCAAAGTATAAAATAGTACAAAAAAGGAACAGGATCCATGCTGACAATCTGAGCTGGGATTAGCTTTAAAGTATTTAACTGTCCAGTCCATATTTAAAGTTTTTATGTGTTGGACATTACAAAATCATTGTAACAGTTTGTACCAAGGCATTGCTTTCCTTGGACAGCTTTCATCCTCTTACCTCCCTGGAGTTGAAACCCAGTACTAGTCATCCATTATTCTATGGATGCAAAACCAGTTGCTTTCTAGGCTTCTTTATAGGGTTGAAGCCTGCAAGTTAAGCAACTATAAGTATTTTCAAGTGTTTTTGTACTGTGAAGTATTTTCCTGAGCATTCTGCCTAGGCAGGGTACCCAGAAGTAGCCCCTTGCATCTTAGCAGGTTTATCAGTATTAAGTAAGCAACTGAGTTATATTGTTCACCTTTCTTGCAAGAGTGTGGTCTTGCCAATCCATGTTCAGCATGGGATGCTCTAGGTAACAAGGTGACAAATGTAGATTACTGCAGTACTTTGAGTAATTTGTTTAATACAAATACATTTTTTCACAACATTAAGCAGATACATTACTTTTGTTTCCCTTACCTTCTGTCTTCCAGTACACATTCACCCACAAAAACATACACTTTTTCTTTTGCAAAAGAGAGGGATTTAAACAAATAACACAAACTTGTAGTTTTGAATATTATACACAGTAAAATACTTTCATCAGAGTAAGTTTCATTGCATTATTGGAAATTATAAACTGCTTGTTCTGGAGATGGGAAATTTTTTTTTCTACAACAATAATAAACAAAAATAAACGCTACCTTCAGATAGAGCAGTGTGTGAATGGCACAGTTGGACTAGTCAAGAATCTTTGTAATGCTACTGATAGTCAGAAGTGGTATGTTTATGCCAGTTTGAAATAAACATTATAATGCTTGTAACTTAAACACAGGAAAAGAAATGTGCATGTTCACAGGAGTGAATACAGGAGCATCTTGATCAAACTTCTGGATCTGACCTGACACCAAATTACTTCTACCTACCTTTATTAAAACTTAGGTTGAACAAGCTGTTCCTGCTAATGGCAGCTCAGAGCCAGGTTCTGCCCTTGCAGGTTTAGCTGGGCCAAATTCTATTGTCAGCATATTTGCCAGAGCTGCACTGTGGTTACACATGAGTTTGATATGGATCATTATTTGAGATGGTATCTTCATTAAAAAGTCTTTAGACATCATCTTAAAACCTTCAGTATACTGTTCTGTTTAGTTGTGTGGTTTAGGTGGGGTTTTTTTCCAGGACAGAATACTGTGGTCAGTAAATTAATACAGAAAATTGTACTTTAGGAATGAAAAAGTATTGGTTGATAAGGATCTGTCTAGTTTATCCATGTACTTTCCTTATTACTGAAGACAAGAATCCAAGGCATGGTGGTGTGAATAGCTCCTTGCCCTCTTGAAGAGGTTGCACCCTGCTTCAGAAACTAATTCCAATCCTCCATGAAATTCCTGAAAGCTCTAGAAAATCCAGTGCATCTATAAGAGAAAGGGATGCACAGGTTAACACTGTAATGCTTTAAAAGGTTAAAGGCTGCTTCAAGCCAGCTGAAATCTCTCTTGCTGGTGACTTGCCTCACTGTCCATTTTATTGACTTGTCTCAGTGTCCCATTTTACTCCTTTTCCTGCTGTACATATTCAGTATTTCCAAGGGAGAGGAGGAATTTCAACTGAAGTCTTTCTGCTTTCTTTTATTTCATTAACTGTAAACTCAGTTGCATATATGGTTGAGTGCCAGAACAGTGTTGAAGTTGAAGGCATTAGTATAAAAGTTTTCACATTGCCTTTTCTGTTGCTGACTCTTCAGTGTGTTTTTAAAAAATGTAAAATCTTGTTGGATGCTACAGTTCTGCTTTCAGAATCTTCAGGTATTTTCTTCTTCTAGGTGAATTTTATACTTCTTCAAGGAAAAAACCCCAATGCAAATTACTCTCCAGTAAGCTGACAAAATAGGGGATAAAGTACTTTCAATGGGTCATGATGCTACTGCAGTCAAAGAACAAGCTGGCTTAAAGAAGCAAGGTTACTTTCACTTAATAAGAAACTATTATTTCAGAAAGCTCTTAGTTATCTTTCATAATAATGTTCCTTGTCAGTAAATTTTGCTGAGGTTTATTGTAAACATCCTTCCAAACATTCAGATGCAGTTGGTAATTTTATGTCTGACATCAGGTACCATGAGAGTTACCTTTTAACGAGTAGCTTTTGAAAACCATGCCATTGCAGACTATCTTAAGCATGTGCAGTTACTAGACATTCCTTAGTCATGTCATCATGCTCTGAAGACCTTCTGAAATCTCCTCCACAATTTCAAATTGAGAAATGATTTGGTTCTCTTGTATGTCGTTTCAAATAAGAAGCTGCTACAATTGGAAGTTGCAGTTGTATAGTTGGGAAATTATTTTATATAAAAAGTGTGTGCCATTACATGAAAAAACTTCAACATTATTCCAACTCACCTGGAGTAACTGACAGCAAATATTGACATATATTAAGGATCCATTAAAGCACCAAGATTTTGTGTCCTGTCTAGCCAGATAACCATCACTTAGTCATAGCCAAATTACAAGAGCAATTCCAGTACAAAAGAATATAATGATCTGATTAAGGACACATTTCTTGCTAACACTGCTAGTATTCCCTGAGCCTTAAGCCAGTAAACATTCACAAAGGAATACCTAGTATATAAATTCCAATACATCTTAGCCCCTTAAGCCTGGGTATTTGCAAGGATGGGATGAACCTGTTATTTCACGGTAAATATTTGAGTGTATAAAGAGAAAATTTACCAGTAGAAACTTCAAGGCTTCTGTAGAACTCCAGTTCTCTTGTAATTGTGGCAGATACCCCTCCTTTAAGTGAATCTCTACTCTCCTGTCCTCATTACTCTGGTTCTTTATATCCTTTTTTGCTTTTCCTCCTTTATTAAATACAAGATTTAAAAAAGAACTTCCAACTTCTTTTTAAAATACACATTATGTTCAGGCCCCAGACTTGTGCACACCAGTACATAACTACTCCGAGTCAATACTTGCTCTTGTGTCCTTACAGTAAACACCACAGTTTTGCAAAGTGAATCACAAAATTGGTTCCTTATACATAATTCACCCAGTTGGACACAGGATTATATCTACATTCATTTATCTATTGCACCTTTTAATGCTATTCACACTTCATTTTTATATGCCAGTGCTCAAAACACAAAATTAACAACTGAACTGTCGAATCTCTAACACCTTAAGTTTACCTGTACAGAAGGAAACCATTGATCTGTTTTTTTTCAGTCAGGAAGAGAAAAACTAGCTTTTTAGAACAAGGAGATAAAAACTAATGTTTTCTTAAGATATGTAAGTAGGTATGTTCTATTACATCTACCTTTCTGTATCATGAATCTTAAAAAATAAAACCAAAAGTTGCTTCCATCCTTCAGTATGTCATCCTTTTTCAGACCTTTGATAACAGACAATTTACTTCTGTGTAATTCTGCAGTAAACTGCTTTTTTTTTTTCATTTACAATTCTGCCTCAATACCTTGTGGATCAAATTTATGCCTAATTCACTCCTATAAAGTAAAATAAACAGCGGAGCTGCTCTTCTAAATGCATATCTATGTATTGTCTCCTTCCTTACTTCCCTGACAATTATAAAAAACTATCTGCAGCTTATGGAAATGTGAGTTTATACTGGTTGGAACTGCTTACTTTTCAAAAATCCAGCCATAGTTGAAAACAACTGGTTCAAATATCCATATTGACACAGCTGCCCAAGCATTCAGGCTCCTCGACAGTCACCATATGAGGCTTAGAGAGGAAGTGCCTCAGTACAGCTCTCTCTACTTTGATTCTGTTAATGCATATTACTGGGATTGGTACCCTTTGAAGTGTATCTCTGAAAAGGTAAATAGCAAATACAACTTCTAGTAGTAAACAGATGAAAGGTTTTGTGTCTTCTGTAAACAAAATCATTGTGTCACTTTTGTTTTCTATTTTCCCAGCCAGCCCAGTTAGGAAAAAAAAAGTACATTGTTACATAGGTTTGGCATTGTCTGTTAAACCTGTTCTCTATTGCACTTTCTACACTTCCACTTTCACTACACTTGCTGACTAGTTGCGAAATTACATCACGAATGGTCACATTCCTTACAGTAACAAATTGCTTTGCTGGATCCATTTTCCTTGTACTGTTTTGGTTTTTGTATGGGGTATTTTTTTTTTGTCGTTTGGTTGGGGTCTTCTTAAACTGAAAAAATGCACAGTCATTACTACTTTCTTGTAGCATTTGTAGTGTAGCAGACACTACGGCTTACTCTGCGAGGGAGAAGCAGCGCTGTCCGTGTCAAACTGGCATGACCTCCGACGTCGCCTCTTCCGCCGCCGGCTGAGAGTTTGTACCTGTCTGTGCTACCGGCACCACCACCGCGTCCTTCAGCTCCGAGGGCTGAGTGCACGGAGAGCTTTTCTCCTCCAGTTTTTTGATGGTGTCTGGGCAGTTCTGAACAAAGATCACTCTGTTGTAGGCTTTCAACCTGCGCCACAGCTGGACGTAAACCTTGCACTGCACGTACATGAAGACCAGGCCTCCTGTGAATCCAATGGCCACCACAACGAGTTTTGTCCAGAATGGCCATTCGAGGACACCTTTGAAATAGAAAGTTTATGTTATACATTGAATATCAAGCACTGTTTCAGTAATGTATACTGAAAAGAAGCCACTGGCTAAGAATGCCTGGGTATGTGCACGTTATTGGGTCACTTGTGGCTCTGGAAAATTGATGGGGTTTCCTATTCCATAGGCTGGCCAAGAAACTGCCCATGGAATAGGAAACTGCTTCCTATTTTTAACTGATTGGACCACAATTTGGTCAAATAAATCAATCAAAAAATCAATGCCACTCTCAAAGTCTTTCAGGATTTCTTCCACTTTTTAACATTAAAGATAGGCTGCTGCTGCTTCTGCGGTAATACAGGGAGCATCTCTTTTCATTAACTGCTATCGGACAGAGAGTATATAATTTTGTATATAATTTTTTTCCCAGATTGCCATGTTTTCAGACTTGAGCTTTACTAGTAGAAAGGTCAGCTGAACCTAGACCTGTTTATTCAAACAGAGTAAATTTTCAGAGTAAATTTATGTGAATTATTCAGAGTAAATTTATGTGCAACTTGGTTCCCTACCACTGGTGCTATATAAATTCTAGAATATTTAAAATATATTTTAAATCTGCTTTTCTATAAACCAGTGTCAGGTTTAGCAATTAAAGTGTTTGCATCATATACTTCGCTAAAGAGAAAAAAAAAAAACCTGCAACCCCAATTTGAGATATCCATTTAAAATGGGATTTTTTTAATTAGAACATTAACGAACAATAGTAGTATTATTCAGGGTTTCAATTTTTCTCCTTCTCAAGATATGTTTATAAAGTGTGTTTTCTCCAGTGCTTATTTATCTTTGTCTTGGCAATTCTCATTTAAAGAGTGAAAATGGGGAAGAAAGCAAACTACATATATGTCCTTATTCCCCACAAATACATGCTCACTTTTGTAAAAGTACTCTACCCTGCAACAAGCAAATTTTGAACCAAAAGCATCCTTTTCACACTTCTGCATGTTTTAAGTAGCTCCAGGGCATATCTTTGTCCGTGTTTTAGAGTAAAGAATCAACCATTATATTTGGCAAATACTGAATGCTATACAAATCATAAATACTTTTTGAGCCTACCAGGAATAATTAACATGATTCTTATGCGTTGTGTGTAACAACAAAAATCCCTGTTAACTGTTTTGATATGTAAATTCAGCTAGTCTGCAGAAATAGCTTCCCCCTTGTAATGAGTAGGGTGATGTAGTTGTACTCATAAATAGAAATTCAAAGCCATCCCTAGTCCTGTCCTCTGGGCCAGGTTATCTGAGATAAAAAGCAAGGTTACCCATTTCAATAGAATGCAAAACAAGACTTTGTAGTGTGTATTCATCTGTGACTTACTGAGGCTTGTTGCTTATTTTCCTCTCTAAGGCAAGAAAGGCAAGCATCAGGAGTATCATCAAATATTTATCTAACTAGCAAGGCACAAAGTTCCACCTGTTTTGTTTTCCATGTTAACTCTGGAATATAACACCAACCTAGAGACCTTTGTTCCTCTAGGGTGCTTAAATTCAATTCAGATCAAAACTCAAAAGCTTTTTATCATTATGATCACATTTAAGACTGAATTTAAGAGCAAACTTAGATTTGAAATGGAAAACAGTAGTTAAGTTTAGGATATATTTTTCACATATGTTAAGTATTGCTCCTACTGACATTAGGCATGCATTTTGTTACACATGTCCAGTTGGATTTTCAGTATCTCTGCAGATGAGACTCCATGACTTCTCTGTTCCAGTGAATAACCAATAAATAGAGCTGCAACATGGACATTCACGGTGAAATTCTATTTGAAAGGACACAAGAATGGTTTTCCATGCTGCTCTAATCCCACATGAAGGACTAACACAACTTGAAATCAGTCTTTTGGAAGTTTGTATTAGGGAAGGTTGTTAATGAAGAGGCTCTATCGTACTTTGCTTCCTATCAAGGTTCAGGGGACTAATATATATAAATTGCTATTTAAGGACCTGAACTTGCACTGAGCTGTTTGAACTTGACTCATCTTTTTGCCTGAGCTTTAGAATTACCTAGGTAATGAGAGATTAACCCAGAGAACCGGCAGGCCGGTTAAGCTGTTGTCATGATTACACAAAGTAGAGTTCTCTCTGCTGGGACATAAGGTAAGATTTTCATACTGATGCATTCAGAACTTCTGCATTAAAGCCTCTGGTGTAGGCATGTGAGCTGTTATTTAAGAACAGAATGTGACTGGTTACAGAGCTGCTTTTCAAAGGCAGGCACTGCATTATCAGCAGCACTGAAAAAGATAAAAGATACTTACCATTATCATTGCCTTGTTTAATTTCTTCAGCAGTTCTGTCAATTAAAACATACAATGACCAAACAACACAGGTAATTGCAATTATATGGAATGTGACTGAGCACACAATTTTTCTCCTCTCACTTGTTGTCATCTGCAATTTCTCCCACTAAAAATAAAAAAAAAAAAAGTAATTAAGAAAATCTGACTTGTAAAATTTTACATCAAACTGATTAGGCCATTGTAGCTCTTTCTACCAAAACCACAAGCAGTAATAAAATTAGCAAATCCTTTAGTTTTGGTAATATGCATTACAGGAGTGTGTGCATTGTCCCTGTTAAATTCACAATGATCTCATTTTCATAGATTCAGAGGAATGAAGTATACTGTTCTGTTTCTGTCTGCTTGTGAATGATATCTTAAGTCATTTCATTACAGTACAGCCATAACATGTTAACAGACAGATAAAAAGATTAATATTTACTTTAAATTTGCATTTCTGGTGGTGAGAGAAGAAAAAGCCCAAAAATCTGTTTGTACTATGTATTAAAATTATAGGAATGCAGCTATGTAACAGTCTTTCCATAAAATAAAGGCACAGGAAATGCAACTTCATTGAGGATTAAATTCAATAAACTTGAAAAGATGATTACATGGAAATGACCATATACGATAGCAGCCAAATAACCTCAGTAATGCAAGGAGGATCTTCCAGCCACATGTTTCTGAATTATGGTGCTAAATCCTGGCTTAAGTTAAGGCTATTTTAAGATGAAATAGGCTATTCTCTGCAACTGAACAATGCCGCTCTTGAGGCGATTTTATTTAATCTCACTTGTGACATGGGTTTTTTTCACAGCACTTCTTCAAAACAAAACCTTCTCTCCTAAAACATTTGCCTTTGAAAAGAGATGAAAGAACAGAGCACTTAAAAGCAAAATGCCTCAATTCTGATGGATAATCTTGGAGCCAGTACAGGCAGCTGGGGAAGAAAAGCAGTACAAAGCATGAGATGTGAGTGCCACCTCCCTGTGGCTCTGTGAACACCAGACTGAGCTGCACTCAGCTCGGTGCCACAGCGCTGCTGCCGCCTGCTACAGCTAGGATGGCAACCACAGCCTCTGCAGAGCACTGCCATGCTGCACATTTACTGCCAAGCTGTGAGTTTGTCTTGGTTCTTCTCGTTTAGGTTTTTGGATTGTTTTGGTTTTATTAGCTGTTTTCACTATTTGGGATTTTTTTAAATTTTGTTTCCAGGCAATTACAAATTTTTCTAAGTTCCTTAAGGCTAGGGCTGGAGATGCCATCCAAGCTAGATGTTAAGCCTTTAACCTGACATAGCCATAGCCATTCTACTGTCAACACTCTCTGCAGTCACATTACATTTTGAAGGAGCACAACTGCAGTAAAACCTGATGAGGGTCAGTGCTGTGTCACCAAGGGGAGTAACTCTCAAAAATACTTCTTCCTGCTTATAGAGCAGGACATAGCAAACAAACTTCAGTCTTTAATGGCAGTTAAATCTTGCATGTTTCAGAGCTGTTGCCTCAAAACACGATCTCTAGAACATTTTCTAGCCCTCGTCACCATTCCATGAATCACAGAATGCTTTGGGTTGGAAGGGAACTTAAGGCTCATCGTGTCCTGTTCAACCCCCCTGCAATGAGCAGGCACATCTGCAATTAGACCAGCCTGCTCAGAGCCCCATCCAACCTGACCATAAGGTTTCCCAGGATGGGGCACCTACCGCTTCCCTAGGCAACCTGTTCCACTGTTTCACCATTCTCATCATAAGAAGTTTCGTCTAAATGTAGTCCAGATACTGCCTTTTTTTGTTGTTTTGCTTAAAATCCTTTTCCCTTGTGCTACTGTAACAAGCCCTGCTAAAAAGTTTGCTCCATCTTTCTTACAGGCTCCATTTAGGTACTGGAAGGCCACAATAAGGTCTCAAAGCCTTTTCTCCAGGCTGAACAACCTCAACTGTTAGCTGTTCCTCATAGGAGAGGTGCTCCATCTCTCTGATCATTTTCTGTGGCCTCTTCTGGACTCTCTCCAACATGACCTCCGTGGGCACCCTCTAGGAATCCATCCTAGAGCTGGATGCAGCAGTCCTGCTGGGGTCTCTCAAGAATCACTTCTCCCACACTTCATGAACCAAAAGCATAAATAATTATTTAGAAAAATGTAAATATTTCCTGAGTAATATACAAAGAGTCAGAGCCATCAGCTTTTTTATTAGCTGAGACCTCATTTCAGTTTCTGATATATCTACTTTTTGAGTGAAAACTAAGCTTGCTGAGTTTTGTATGGCAGTTTGGAAAAATGGGAGGATTAAAAAAAGGCTTGTTTTAATTTTCTTTTAAGTAACGACCCCCAAACTTTATATTCATTATAGTTCGTGTAGCTAATATTCAGTGGTCAGACCAGAGAGTATGTGGCATTATCACAGTCTTATTTCCTTAGAGCCACTAGGTTACACAGCCTTTGATCAGGAGATTTTAATTTTTTGCAGTGAAAATTCAAATCTTGAAACAGACTTTCTTTCCAAAGAAAGAACCCTTGTCTTTGTCCAGATGGAAGAAAAGGTTTTAGCTTAACCCTTCACTTACCTGTGGGTGTTTTGTGAGAGAAAACAAAGAACATAATGAAGAATGATTTGTTCTTAAACAGATTTTGTCTGTTATCTCAACTTTGATGCTACACCATTTGGTCTGTTGGAGAGAAGACTCTGCAAAATTTTCATTGTCATGTATACATGCAGTCTCTTTATAGCCATTGTACTCTCTAATATACTCATAATGCTTTGTGTTCATCTGAATGCCCAGTCAAAGACAAATGCTGGGTCCCATTAGTCTAAATGTAAACATTTTGTAGGTGGAAAAAACCCAGACAAAATCAACCAACCAACAGGCAGGATAGGTAAATAAAGGTTCCAGCTCACAGAATTCTGCTGAGATTTACAAGAAAGGTATCTCAGGACAGGAAACCAGCAGAAATTGGCTGAAGCAGGCCTTTTTGGTAACATCTCATCAAATCCAGCCAGAAGGCAAGCCAAGGTCTACTGGACTCTGCTTCCTCCAGCTGCCCCCTTTTCTTCTCCCACAAGGCAGCCTGCCTTGCCTGCCCTGTCTGTCCATTCTATCCACACACGTTACCACACCAGACAGAAGGTGCCTGCCAAGACACGGGGAGAGGTCACCAGGGCATAGGTGATTATGGGACTGGGTCACTGCAGAATATCTCATACTCCCAGTCTGGGATACAGGAAAGGAATAAGGTCCAAGGAGAGACTCTGTCACAGACAGCTACCTGGGAACATTTTACAGCTCTTAGTGTGCTCCAATGCTGCTATTTTGTTTTGTCTTGCCCTTGCTGCAGTCATAATTCTCCCAGCTATGGTGATGATGAGCTGAACTCAGAAGAAAAAAAGCAATTAAACTTTGTGCTGTACTTCTGGTGATCCCAATGGCAGCTGATGTAACTTCCCCATCCTACTCACATATTTTAGGTTGGCTGAACAGAGAGTACTTTGTGACTAGATGAGTCATGCTCTACTAGATGAGTGATGTTAGTAGATGAGCCAGCAATTTATGTTGTCCTGGAACAGAAAAGTGCAATTCCCTATTTTAGGATTTTTGCAATAGGCTTGTATCAAAAAATTAACTGTTAGTTTTAGAACAGACTTGCTTGGACAAAAGCACAGTTATGTGATATAAAAATTGCTTGAAAATCTGTAACAAAGGATGAGACAACAATGTAATGAGCAATGAAAGCATCAGCCCCTTTTACTTCTGCTTTATAGTCTGGGACTTGATACAGCCTAAAGTCGTGTGGGGAATTTGGCAGGTGCTACCTTTCATGTCACACAGAGCATTAATGCCTCCTTAACCTCTGATAAATTCATCCCTGCTGTGTTTTGAAGCTCCTGCAGTTTTCATGGCTTTCCACATTCATAATAGAAAGATAAAAATAACTTGTGTCATGTTTTATTATCTTCATCAGTGATCTCCAAGAAAATACAGCAATCAGGTTGATGACACTGTGACATGCCATGGATAGAATATCAGATGCTACCATCTACAGCACAAAATTAAGTACACAGATGCAATTTTCTTTGGAAATTTAGATCTTAATGCTCCTCAGGTGCTTTAGATGCTGTAATGACAGAAATAAATGGCAGCAGCCAGAGGAGACATTTATAATGACTTGAAAATTATTGAGTCACTAAATTAATAGAAAAAACTAGCTTTTGCCCAGCCCCACATAAAACAACCCTTCACTGTTGTACAGCCAATTGTCACACTCACAGATTCTGTAATCCTGGCAGCAATACAAACACAGACTGGAAATCATCACAAATGCAGATGGTTTAATGTCCTGCAAATGCAAGCAACTGCATGAATATCATAATGCTTCACAGAACAGGTGTGCTAGAACACTTTGTAACATCTAACCGGAACCAAAAGCTCTTTTAAACAGGTCACCAAATAAATCCAAAGTGTAACAAAAATCCAAATGCGTCCCCAGCAGAAAGCTTGGAATATCCCCAGCCCCCTTTTTATTTTCTGAATAAGCTTTCCGAGCGTGTCGCTTGCAGTGTGCTCTGAAAGCCACTGGAGGGTGGTCAGAGACTGCCTGACTCAAGGTTCCCACCAAGAACGGAAAGCAATTGGACTGTGAGCGTGATCAGGAACACTCGTCCCACCCCAGCTACTACTTACAGCTGCTTCTAAGACACAACGTGCATCTCAGTTGGAATTCCTAAACTTTACTGAGAATTTTGGAATAATCTTTAAAGTGGCAGCTGTAAAACTGTACCCTGCTCTAGGTTTCTACCTCATATTTTGCTTTTGTTTCCTAAAGAAAATTTCACTCAGAAATTTCAAGAGAGTGGTTACTGATTTCAAATCTCACTCTTGTAATTACAAAATGTAGTCATGAGTCTTCAGGGGAAATTAAAAAAAAAAAAATTAAAAAACCCACCAAACCCTAAAACACACAGGGAACTTTAAATCATGTGTAGCTAACCACTTCCCTTTCCTGTAAAGCAGTTTGAGAAAATCTCTCATATTTATTTCAAAGTAGAAAAAATATGCCTCTCTACATGCCACTTCTAATACAAGCTTGATTAATCAATATGCAACAAGGAATTACAGATATTTTTTTTTT